GTAGAGGGAGGCAGGAGAGAGGGAAGAGAGGGAGGAGAGAGGGAAGAGGGAGAGAGGGAAGAGGGAGAGAGGGGGAGGGGGGAGAGAGAGGGAGAGAGGGAGAGAGGGGGAGAGGGAGAAAGAGAGAGACTCCATATCACCTTAGGCTGTTTGTTTGGCTATTGAGAAGTTCCTCTCATGTCTTAATGTTTCAATGTCTAATTAAAACCTCTCTCTCTCTCTCTCTGCCAGTATATTGCTTTGTTGTTGTTTTTTGGTCATGGGGCTTGAACTCAGGGCCTGGGTGCTGTCCCTAAGTTTTTTTGCTCAAGGCAAGTGCTCTACCACTTTGAGCCACAGCACCACTTTCAATTTTCTGGTGTTTAATTGGAGATAAGAGTCTTATAGGAACTTTTCTGCCTGGGCTGGCTTTGAACTGCAATCCTCAGATCTCAGCCTCCTGAGTAGCTAGGATTTCAGGCATGAGCCACCAGCACCTAGCTTCAGTATGGTATTTTCAACTAAGGGCCTCACGCTTGCTCAGCTTGCTTGAGCCATAACTCTACCCTGGCTTTTTGCTGGTCTCTATCTGAGATCCTCTGGATCTCAGCATTTTAAGTAGTTAAGATTACAGCATGAGCTACAAGTGCTCTGCTTCAAACCTTTCTTTAAAGAGGTCTCAATCATCTTTCCTTTTTGGCTTCAATGGTAAATGTGGAGAAAAAAAATCCTCCATTTTCCTTATAGTTACTCAAAGCTAAGCAGTCAAGCAGGCTCAAGCCCCACCAGGAAGCAGACAAAGGCTTACCCAAGGCCCCAAAAAGTGCTAGCATTAGGGGAGAGGGCATTCCCAAGCTACAGTAGGTAGGGAGGCAGTGGTCTCAAGGTAGTAAAGTCAATATTGAATCAGGTTAAGGACTCTGTGCAGGGCTGTGAAGCTTGTATAAGTAGATTCCAGCCAGACAGCCCAAGCCAGCTCTTAGAACCCCTGATGAAACTGACAGATGGCAACAGAAGCAACCTATATGCTCACCTTTCTCTGAACTGTTCCTCCCTTTTGCAAGTTCCAAATGTGCTTAGACTAGGCCTTCTCTTATCCTATGCTAATTACTGAAGGATCCTCCCAAACCTCTTCCCCAAATGAAAGAAAATCTCAGTTTGTTCCTTTGGATAGTGTTCAACGAACATATTCTCATGTGGTGTGAACCTAGCTGAGAAGGAAGCAGAGACACTGGGGAAAATATTTCTGGTTACGATGCTTCTAAGGAGTAAAGCTTCTTCTATAAAGGGTATGATGAGCAGACTGCACTCTGGCTAACTCGGGCATAGAAAAAGGAGAAGTGAGATGAAGTGGCATAACTACTTTCAGATGGGACTAGAATTGGAAGATGAGTGCAACTTCATGTGTCCTCTTCACAATCACAGGCCAAGAGAGATGGTATACAACTAGTTTCCTATCCCAAGTTCTCTTTCCTAGCCAGTTTCTTCAAAAAGCTTTTCCACAAACACTTTCTAACCCAAAGAATCTGGATTTTATGAGCAAGAGGAATGGCACAGGTGGTTAGCAGCTTAATGCACAGGGTTGACGAAAGAAGCAAGTCAGGAGCTTGTGTTTCAAACTTTCACTCATGGTTATAAACTGGAAAGATTGAGATGAAGGAAAATTCTCAGGATGACAAAACCACTAGCAATAAATGTCTTTTGTCTGAGAACCCAGAATGTTTTATAAACAAATAAACCAAGCTGAATTCTTCTCCCAACCCACATCCTGCTATTAGCCTATTACTGCATTGATGCTTATTGAGTGGGCCATTTTTACAAAAAGACCATTCTAGAAGTTAAGTGAGGAAGTTATATGCTGAACCCAGGAGTTCTGATTCTGAATGTACAAGCTCTTTCCATTGTCTGATTTTTTTTTGTCCCATTTACCCCCATCTACCCCACCCTAAACTTGAGCTCTTATGAAATCAACCAAAACTATTCTAGTAAGCCTCAATCAGTAAACTGATTCCTTTTGCACTTGAAAGGGGGTGGGAAGACACTCTATTCTGGGATTTATTTAACACAACCCCGAAATAATCCAAAACAAAATTTCTCACAACCTCATTCAGTTTCCATGCAGGCCTGTTCATCCCTCCTAGTGGCTCCTCCTGAGTAGTCAACAAAGTGTAATCTGATAGGGACTTCTTCAAAACTTGCTCCATCCTCCAGAAACACCCTTTTGTCCAGAAAAGCCTGAGACAGCTGAGGCTCCCCCTCCTCCCAACACATTTTCTTCTTAGTTCAAGGTTTAGCTGATCCTGAAATAAGTGGTATTTGGAGATAAAGAGTGTGACAAAGAACACATAAAAGCCACAGGAAAAACAGAACCAATTGACACAAAGATCAGCAAAATCCGTGAAACTACGGGGAGGTGTCAAAGTTGGAAATGGGAAGGATCCAAAGTCGGATCTTTCTCTTAGGGGAAGGAACCCTCAGAGGGCTGGGATTGAGAAGGGGGAAAAGGAAGCTAGATGGCTCCAGGGATCATAAAACCCTCTACAGAAGGTGAGGGTTAAGGTCAAAGTAGAATGTAAATGGTACTTTGGAAATGATGACAAGGGCCCGAGATCAATGAAGGAGAGAGGCATGGGCAATTCTTGGAAGCCAGGAGCTGGGTGGGTGGGAGACGGTGAGGTAATGACATCAGAAGCAGGATAAGGGGGCTACAAGCTTTTAGTTCCAGAAAACGGGAACTCCGTGCAGAGGGCGCACAGATTTTGGTGGAGTGGGGCAAAATAGAAAAAGCGATAAAGGCGGAGTCTATGGAAAATGTTTGGGGCAGAAGCACAGATGACGGAAAAGGACAAACCAAGATGGACATTCTGGAAGGGATCTAAGGTGGGAAGGGTTCACGACAGGAAAAATAATTAGGGACGGAGGCAATAAGGGTAAGAAGGTGCGGTGGGGGGGGGGGACGGGAATCCTCGGGGCCGAAGGAGGGGCTAAACAGACGAGGAAACCAAAAAGCAGAGGAGGACCCCCGCCCCGAGAGCAAAGGGTGGAGGGCAGGGTGCAGCTGCCACCCCGAGGGCAGTTTTGTGGTCGAACCCAGGTGGAGAGAGGCTTTGCGGGACAGGGTGAGAGCGCCCCACCACCACCACCACACGGGGCAAAGGTGACTCAAGGGGCAGGAGTCGCTTACCTCCTGGGGACCCCTGCGGAGGGGGTGCAGGCGGTCGGGGTCGGGCTGCCGACACCGCCGCCTCAGCAGCAGCGGCCGCTCCCGGGTTCCATTGGCCGCCTGCGCTTCCCTGACAGCGGCCGCGGCGGCTGCACCAGGCCCCGGCTGCGGGGCTGCCCACGGCGCTGCCTGAAGGGGCCTTGATGCTGCCTGAAGTTGAACCCTGCTCCACAGTCAGGACCAAAAGAATATATACTGATAATAATAATAATCACAATAATACTTCTCCAGCAGGTCTTGATGTAAGGTTTTCCTGAACTCAAGCCTTTCTTCCCGGGATTTGCTTTCTTACTTCCCCGACGCTCAGGACCCCCACAGATCCTATAGTAATCTGAGTCAAATGAGCTGCCCAGAATGTGCCTGTTCAAAAATAGAAAAGGGGGCGGGGAAAGGCTATTTGGAATCTCGGGAGGGAGAGGGAAGGGCGGGGCTTACGGGGAGTGGGCGGGGCCAATGCTTGAGAGGCGGACCTGAGGCGGAGGAGGTTTTGCTGGACTAAGGAAGCCGAGAAGGTGGTTCTGCGAAACGAACTGGATTAGGTGGCCGGGTATGGGCGCCCTCTTAGGAAAGAACGTCTATAAATACAGAAACATGTAAATACTATGTAAAGGAGGCTTTTGAGTCAGCTACAGTTACAGGCTACTGTAATTGAAACCGGGGACTTTCCCTCCTCCCTAATCCTACTTCACTTCCTTAGTAAACCGGACTCTCGGATCCATGCCGGAGGGGCCAAAAAGGAAAGACCGGGGTGGGTGAGGAAGACCGTCACCCTTACTGCTCTTTCCTTATCCATCTTTAAGGGCATTGCCACGATTGTGTTTCTTCTCGCTTCCGGAATGTTACCATTTCAGCGGCCGTGGTTCTGTCTCCGAAGTCACTCCCTGGCTGGGAGAGGTGAGTGAAATGATAAGGACGTAAATCCCTTCTTTCTAACGAAAGCCACTACGGCAAAAGACTAAATAAATAGACAGTCTGAACTTCTGGCTTTGATTTTGTGTATTTGTTGATTCGCACTGATAATTGAGAGACTTCTTCCTCCTCAGAACCTCTATCCCAGTGTCTTTCCTAAGGGATTTAGGTAACATCTATTTCTCCACCCCACCCCCCTTAGAATCTTACCTGATGATATTCTACACTGAGGGTAGTTATTTGGCATCCAGATCTTGGATGCCATCATCTTCTTTGCCACTGCCAACCTGATAACTGATATAACCTTTTAAACTCAAGTTGTTTTTTTTTCTTTCCGTTTAGAGGCCAGGCTGGTCTAGAACTTCTAGGCTAAAGCGATTCCCTTACCTTAACCTACTTAGTAGCTGGTGCTACCACCACATATCATCCAGGCTTGAACGTCAGTTTCTGTGTTTGCAAAGTGGATGCAGTAATATTAACAGCTCACAAAGTTTTGTGAGCGTCAAGAGAATACAGATCAAAGCCAGGTGCCAGGGGGTTCATGCCCGTAATCCTACCTAGTCAGGAGGCTAAGATTTGAAGATCACAGTTCAAGTTCAACCCAGATTTGGCTAGCCAATTAATCAGTAAAAATGTGGAAGTAAATCTATGACTCAAATGATGGAGCACCAGCCTTGATCAACCAGTACTGGTTAAAAAAAAAATTACTGTGGCTACCGTGACTTAGATTGTAGATATTAAATATTGGATATTATACAGCAGAATAATAAAAGAGGAGAGCACATTCTGAAGGCCAAAAAGATTGTAGAAGAATAGAACTGGAAGTTTATTCAAATCATAAGTACAGGGCAAAAAAGTACACTAGGTTGAAGCAGGAGTATAGTAGTGAAAGACAAGCTGAGAACAGGTGCCAAAGACAATTTCAATTTGTCATCACATCTGCAGTGAGGCATCACCAGTCCACCTGTTAGGATCAGCAGCTCTTGGCCAGTTTCCAACTAGTTGTTCCATGAGTATCAAGGCAAAAATGTTTGCTTTAGTCTAAAATGCCTCATATCCCCTTAAGGGGTAGAATTCGCAAGGGCCACAAGACTAACCTTTTTTTGGGGGGCGGGGGGAAAGTCAGTCATGGGGCTTGAACTCTGGCCTTGGGCACTGTCCCTGTGCTCTTCAGCACAAGGTGAGCGCTATACTGCTTGAGCCACAGCGCCACTTCCGGTTTTCTAGTGGTTTATTGGAGATAAGAGTCTCACAGACTTTCCTGCCCGGGTTGGCTTTGAACCGTGATTCTCAGATCTCAGCCTCCTGAGTAGCTAGGATTACAGGCATGAGCCACCGATGCCTGGCTAAGACTAACCTTTTGAAACATTGTAGAAAGAGATGGGACCACCTTTCAATAGTAGGTAGATATTGTTGTTGTTGTTTCAGTACTAGGAATTGAACACAGGGTCTATTCATACTAAACAAGTGCTCTAACACTTGAACTACACTCCCCAAATCCCCTTTTTTTTAGACATTTATTATTTTTTAAAATTTTTTTGTTGGTCATAGGATCTGAACTCTGGGCCTGGGTGCTGTCCTTCAGCATTTCAGCTCAAGACTAGTGCTCTACCACTTGAGCCACAGCACCACTTCCAGCTTTTTCTGCTTATGTGGTGCTGAGGTATCTAACCCAGGGCCTCATGTATGCAAGACAAGCACTCTACCACTGAGCTACCTTCCCGGCCCCACCCCGACCCCCAATCCCCTTTTTGATGGCATTGAGATTGGGATTTTAAACTCAGGCTTTGTGCTTGTTAAACTTGAATCATGCCTCCAGCTCTATTTTTCATTGATTATTTTAGGATAGACCTGAGCCACAATCCACTTACTTTAGAGTTCCCATCATCTCTGGGATCACAGATTTATGCCACTACATGCAGCTTTCCTCTGTGGAGACATTGTCTTGATTACTTTTCTGCCCCAGCTTGCCTGGCCCTGCAGCCTGCCAAGTTTCAGTCTTTCCTATAGTTTTATGTGACAGGTGTGTACCAGTGTGCCCAGCTATGAACTGAAAGGGGTCTTTTGAACTTTTCTTCCCCTGCTGGTCTTAAACCATGATTCTCTTGGTTCTCAGCCTCCCACGTAGCTTCTTTTAGGTTTATTTTATGTTTTTTTTTGGGGGGGGAGTGTGGGGAGTAGTCCTGGGGCTTGAACTCAGGACCCAGGCACTGTCCCTGAGCTTCTCTGTGCTCAAGGCTAGTGCTCTACCACTTGAGCCACAGCGCCATTTCTGGCTTTTTCTGCTTCTGAGGAATCGAACCCAGGACTTCATGCATGCCAGGCAAGCACTCTATCACTAAGCCACATTCCCAGCCCAGTTTGTTTATTTTATTTTATTTTCCAGTTTATTTTGTTTTTGAAATAGGGTCTTACTGACTTTGCCTGGGCTGGCTTTGAACGCTTTTTTTTTTTTTTTTTTTTTGGTCCGGTTGTGGGGCCTGAACTCTAGGCCTGGGC